AGCGCACACTGCCGGCTCATGTTCTCTATGATCTCTAGAGGCCCCTTCCAACCCCTTCAACTCTGTGAATCTGTGCAGCAGAATGTAGGCAAAAAGTTCATCCAGCCAGGAGAAAGCACAGCTCAACTGTGCTCATCAAACTTGTTTTTCCATGTGCAAGTCCATCTTCCTCGGTTTCATTTGCTACAACGATGTTTTCCTTTCTGCATATTTTTCCTACTTTTATCTCTGTTTACAATCTCTTTTCTCATGAACTGCCTTTCTTAGGAAAAATACCAAACATAATACTTTTCTGGGTTCCTCTCTGTTCCTTCCCAGTTTGGTTTCACAGTGGGGTTCTCAGGGTGTGTTCTGGAGGGTTAGTGCTTTACAAAACACGGGCAAATGTCAGGTCAACCCAGTGCACCATACTGTCATCTTAAGGCTCCTGTCCTACGTGGCTAAGTTGTGCCTCTTGCATGGGCAACAGAATCTGAGAATCACAGCAAAGATGTGTATGAAGCACTACCGTATCTATAAGGACCGTGTTACAATTAAAACCTGTTGGAATAAGGAGCAGGAAGGTTGGCAGGATAGATGGGTGGAGGAGAGGAGTGTCTCTCTCTTTCCTTACTAAGTGACCTGATCCATGGGAGATGTCGTTTCATGGGCAGACTACAGCAGAAAAGGGCATGGAAAACACCTCCATCCTGTGGCTACAGCACCTTCTACTCCTGCAAACAGCACCTTCTACTCCTGCAGAACGTCCCCCTTTAACCACACTTCTTGTGTCCGGAGACTCCATTGACTCGGGAAGGGCCTTGGTTCTTTGTGCTGTTTTTTTTGCCGGAAGGAAAACAGCTTCTGCTGTGGGAGGGTACAAAACAGCAGGCTGAAGCCTGTGCCTGCCGGCGTGTACAGGGCACGCAGGTAGCACTGCCTCTGCGCTGGGGAGCAGGCAAGGACGAGAGCAGAGGCAAGCGAGCCTGGGTCGCGCAGGCCAAAGCCTGGCCGGCTGCCCAGGGCAGTGCAGGACACGGCACTGGCGTAGTTACCGCAGGCGCCACGGTACCTTTGCCTCCTGGTAACTTTGGTGTCATTAGGTGCTGCTCGTAATGGGAAATCATGATTTTAGTGTGGTTCTGGTATGTTGTCCGTAATTAGTGTGCAGTCCTTTAACGCTAATCACCTCAAGTATTAATTCCTTAAACATCAATTAAAAAAAATCACGTGAAAATTTACCTCTTCCTCAAACGAATCGTGAACTAACATGGGGGTACTTACAATGTACTACTTAGACTTGCTTAATTAATTAATCTCTGTAAAGGGGTTTCAAATGTGTGAAGAGCTATCAAACTGTTAAGTGCATTATCTCCAATTAATTTTGTGCGACTACGTCTTCACTACCAAGAGGGTCTTTAGAGTCCTGAGGAAAGGAAAAGGAGACATTGCTTCTAATTTTAAAAGTAACTAATCAAAAAAAGGAATTAATTGAAAGATGATTTGACATGGTGGGAATAAGGGTGAACGTACCATTTCTTCTGTTTCAGCCAGACCTGAATATAAATGATTCATCATTCATATCCCTTCTGTGCCTTTTCTGGTCTTTGCTTCCATCTTCCCCTGGTCTTAATCCTCTCTCTCACTGAATATTAACCCTCTCTCTTCCAAATTTGGTATTACCTTGGCCAAAAAAAAAAAGGTTAAAAAAAGAGCAAATTGCAACAAAAACACTCTTCAAGCTGTGGCGTCCCTGAGGTTACACCCTCACACCAACCCAATAATAAGGTGGCTTGTTCCAAAAGAAGCCTCAAGGACTTCACTTGAAAAGGAGAGGCTAAAGGCCCAGAACAGAGGGCCAAAATGGCAAAAATAGTGGGCCAAGTTCAGCCCAGGGGTCATATGGTACCTCTCCATTGCCTGAGCCACCCTGATAGCCATTGGAGTTAAGCTCTTCATGTGCCTTTCAAAGTTTTCTGTTCTACTTGAAGTTTACATGCCTTGTTCATTGTTCTCATTTTACGGCACCCATTAATAATCTGCTTTTGGTGGAGTTCTCAGAAGTTTGACAATGAGTTCTTTCTGCTAACCCTGTCTAGCTGGCAGCTTTATTTAGGCCAGCTACACTGAATTTGTCTTTACCAAGAACTTATTTCCTGGATTGTTTTTCTCCCACTGGGACGAACAAAAGATAGCAACATTTTTCTTGCTGGGCCAGATTTGTTTTTTAGAGTTTTTCACTTGCCTTTCCTTTCTTTCCCAAGAATGATAAATTATCACTTCCTTGCTGACTGCTGATGTCCCAGATGTTGTGAAAAATTCAGGCAGCTTGTTTAATATCAACTTGCCTGAGCAGTGGCTATGCAGCACTGTCTCCTTCACAGGACCATTTTTAATGTGCATTTGCAGTATATTTGTATCACATCTGGGCATTCACTCGGCAATGATCTGAAAACCTATTCATTTACCTTATTTCATCCAAAAGAATGGGAACAGAGAACAGACTATTTGACGGCCACAACTTTATTTTCTGCATACTGGAAAGTAACAGCTTAGCCTGCTGGATAAGGCATTCCACTAGCAAGTCAGAATTGGGTACACAGTGATCCTCAACGACCCACGTGCTCTGGGAAAGAACTTCTTCCACCAAACCAGAAAATCCTCTTCTCTCAAACCCCTCCCCAATTCAGTTTTACAAAAGGAACTGTGAGGAACAATCATCATTACCCAATCCAGTAGATATAGTTTAACTCAAGGCCTGACCTGCTCTAACCAGGATGTCTAACGGAAGCGTAGGTCCCTCAGAGGACAGCTTGAAAATGGGACAAGCTGTCATTACAGGGTGTGGGAAGAAGAGCAGGACTGTCAGAAGCAGCAAAGAAAGTAGCTTCTCACCTTCCCGTAACTTCACCACCGGTTTGTTTGTACAAAAGCTTACAGGATCGTTTCCTGGCATCTGGTATATCCGTACAGTCCACTCACAGAAAGTACTAGAGGGGTAAGCCAGAAGCTATTTAGAAGAGGCAAGGTTGCCTTGCACCTCAGCCTAAGGCCCCCTCACTTTGCTTCCCACGTGACTACCGATGATCATTTAATTCACCTTGGTGTTCCTCCTGCCTGGGAAAGACAGGTGAAATGGAGCCTGAAGAGGCTACGAGTGCTGCCAGATCCAAAAGGAAGGGGTAGAGCTACCTGAATACCAAAGCCTGACTTGTCTGACATGTGCATTTCCACAGAACAAACCTAATTGCAGGAAGTTATCAGTACTTAGCCAAAGAAGTCACATGGCAGGGAGGATCCAGCAAGGTCTCAATGAACAGTCCAGGATTATTGCTCCCTCCCCTTCATGGATGTGAAAAATAAGGAAAAAAAAAATCCTATCCTCTTATGAGGGTTCCCTTTCATACCAACATTTCAAAAGCTCAGTTGCCAATAAATTAAAACAAAACCACCATATGTCCAGGGCAAGGGAAGATGCACTCCCTCTCTGTCCCTGTCATGTCAGAAGAGCAGCTCCAATATGGCCCCTCTGGGGCATACTGCGCCCTCACAGGGGCACTGGTGTGACATAGTTGGCAGGGAAGAGACCCAGTTCCCCACGCAGACGTCCTTTCCACCATGATGGGTTGGAGCTGTCCAGGACCTCTAAGATGTCTCCGCTGCGGAAGCCCAGCTCGTCATGTTCCACAGCATCAAAGTCGTACAAGGCACGGACCCATAGCGTTCGCTGGAAAGGAGACAGAGACAGGCAGTGAGCCAGAACTCTTAACACCTTCCTGCCACCCCTCGTGTGCCCCAGGACATATGTTCACCAAGAGAGGACAAGCAATGCTGGAATTGAGACCATCTTGCAATTAAACCAGGAAGTGGCCAAGATGCCAGGAAGGAGGGACCAGTTTACTGGGACACCCAACGGATGGTGCACCATAAGGTGAAAAGTCAGGCTGAGAGCAGGTCCTTAGAAAACAGTGTTCACATGGCTCCGGCTCCTCCACCCTGTGAGATCAGCCGTGGGGAGCCACGTTTGAAGCCAGTAATGAGAGACTTGAGAAGGGCTCCTGCCCGAGTCCTGCTGGGCTGTACTCTACAAGTGAATGGCTCTAGGGAGGTGACCTGCTGCTGGTACGGATGGGGAAATGTGTCCTTGGCCAGCAGAGGACTATGAGGGACACATCAAGGAAGCTACAAGGAAGTTGGGGGGACTTTTTACAAGGGCCTGTAGTGACAGGACAAGAGGTAACGGGTTTAAATTGAAAGTGGGGAGGTTTCGATTGGATATCAGGAAGAAGTGGAGAGGGTGGTGAGGCACTGGAACAGGTTGCCCAGAGAAGCTGTGGATGACCCATCCCTGGAAGTGTTCAAGGCCAGGCTGGATGTGGCTTTGAGCAACCTGGTCTAGTGGAAGGTGTCCCTGCCCATGGCAGGGGGGTTGGAACTGGATGGTCTTTAAGGTCCCTTCCAACCCAAACCATCCTGTGATTCTATGATCAAGAGATCCAACACACAGGTGAGCATTTGAACATTGTAAACAACAATACTTGCTCTTGCATGTACTTCTGGGGCATAGGGGAAGGTCTTAAACCTTCTTTAGAGTCTCCCCGAGGGCAGTCCCCTAAGATCAAAAGTATTTAGGAACTGGTTTGGGTATATCAGTTTATCTTGGGTTTGCACTTTAATGAGCACTATGGTCAGATTTTTTTTCCTTATGAAAACTTCCTCATAAAAGACTTTGCAATCAACCTCCCGTTTTGACCAGAAATCAGATTTTACAGGACATAATATGGGCTTCTTTTCTAGTAAATTGTTGGCACCCATACCAGAGGGCATAGACAATTTGGGAGGTATGTTATTTGGGCACAGATGGAGAAATCTGCTTGAAGACAGACTAACTTTTGCTAAATCTTCCAGTCAGAGCCCTGCTTAGATATGGCTCCTAGTTATTTGGCTGGACATACAGACCTTCCCATAATTGCATTTGTGGCTTCTAGATCACTGATGGGGTGTGGCAGGCAAGGGCATGTTGTTATTGATTGCCACAGCCTCTGAAGGACAAAAGCCACTGTATTTTGAGCTGGATTATAATAAAGATTTGGGGCTTTTGCCAAAAGATGACATGTCCCTGTTTCCCAGTTTGTTCCAAATTTCCTAATCCAATCTGTCCTCTTTCTCTCACACCTGAGAAAGATCTGCTGTCCTTCCCTTCCCTCCCTGGATCTAGGTTCCCTGGTTGATCTGGGCTAAGCCGTACATTTCCTCAAAGAAGAGACGCATGCCCTAGGTCACATTCCTAGGAGCTGATGGAGAGATACTTTGGCGTTGGCAGTGGAATCACGGGCTGAGGCAGAGAAGGACACCATGCTCTATGCAGGCATTCACATAGTGGGAATTTGCAAAATGACTGAAGCAAAACGTAGTGGAATAAAGAGTGTGACAATAAGTGTGTTGCAACACAGAAGGAGCTCAGTATCATGAGGCAAGTCTCCAAAGGACTTTAAAAGAGTGCTGTACGTCTAGCTACTGTGCTTAGGGGGGCCTGGCTGTGGTGGTACAAGTACTTGATAGTCCCTTGCATCAGTGGACGTGAAGCCCTTTCATTAGGTTTTCAGAAATGTCTTCTGCTGGACTGGATCCATGCTTGATGCAAATGTGGGGTGAGCTTGGGCTCATTCACAATGTCCCAGATGCCTATTTTATTGAGCTCATGCCAAGTTCCCTCTTCTACTAAATCTGCATGTTAACTAAGACTAGCCTTGAGGGCAGTCCTAGAACTACACTCATAAACCACGGTATTCCTACCCTCAGAGTGCCCCAGAAGCAGAAACCAGTGGCTGGGATAGTGTCTTGAGACTCAGAAACGTAAGTCCCCACAGGCTTAATACACTAATCCTCATCCAGCCTCTGTGCAGGTGACTTTCCCCAGACCGCAGGCCCATTGCTCAGGGACCCATTTAGTTGGGCAGATGGGGCCTTCCAGGTACATCACCTACCGGTGTCTGCTGGTGCAGCGGGTCTGTGTGTCTCCGTTGCATAGCTGCTGCACTTCCCTGGCTATGAAGATCCCTTAGTCCATGCAGCCCATCTTTCCTGTCCAGACTCCCACCATATCTATCCTGGAAAGGAAACAGCAAGAGAAAAAACATGTGTATGCTGAGGTGTATAAATGAGGGGCCTTAGGGGCCATTGGTGGCCAGGGAGTTAGGGTCCAACCCTCAAGTAAATCATCTTCGATGTCTGCTCCCAGTACAGTCCCGGTGCTGCAGTCCTGCAAGCAGTGCCCCTCATGGAAAAGGCCACCTCAGACGGTTCTATTTTGGGTTTTTTTTTTTGTAGAAGTTGAAAGTTGACTGTCCTCAGCTGTGTTCCACAGCTGCTGGGAAAAGTGGTCAGAGAGGGTCTTTTTTGGCCTCCGGGACTTTTGGAGAAAACCTAAGGCTGTTCTAACTCACAGGTGAAAAGCCGTGCATGCCAAGGGGACTTCTGCCCATCTGGAGTTACTATGCACCAGTCCTGCCCACTCCTTGCTCCTCTGTCCCAGCTGCTGGTGGAACCGCAGCGATGCCAAGGCAGCTGACCTGATCTGAGAACTCACTACCTTACTTTTTCTTGGGCTGCTCAGGGAGCAAGCTGGCAAACCCAACAGCCAAAGGAGAAAGAGAGGAAATCGGGTTCAAAACAAAGAAGCCATATGATGGCACATCAGCAGTCATATCAACACAAATCAGCCCAGATGGAGAGAAGGAAGTAGGCATGGTCCAGGGATCAAGTTCTCCTGTGTCTGCACAGCTGAGAGGTGCTGAGTGTCTTCATCCCTCCAGGCCCTTAGTGCAGGCACTAAGCTGTTTTTTGTAACGGTGTGACAGAATCTGTTCCCATGTTAGCTCAGGTTGCTGCAGTGCTTCAGCGTTACAGGGTCTGATCCACTGTGTCAACAGGGGGAAGGAAGAACAACAGCTTGTGCTTACTGTTGCTTGTAAACAGCTTTCATCCTCTCCCTCTCGTTGCTTCCTTTCTTGCACCTACTCTTCCAAAAACTCCCCTGGTCTCACTTGCACCTTTGTCAGCCTAAAAGGTTGCTGAGGCTGGAGCACAATTTGCGCCTCACCTGTCCCTGAGAGAAAGTGAGTGAACTCAACCTGCAACTCAACTCAAGCTGCAAGAACTTACTACATGGACTCCTCACTCCCAGGAGTGTATCTGGTCTGTATCAAATGTGATTCATGCACAAACTGTGCTCCAAAGGGTGCAGGCTCTCAGCTCTGTCAGAAGCTGTATTATTCCATCAGCAGTCCCCTGACAGAGAACACTGCCTGTCTGATGAGAGAACAGCCACTTCATGACTGCCCCTCGCCTTGCTAAGTGGGAGCTCTCCTGCTTCAGGGGATGCGGTTCTGGGTTCAGGACAAGTCCTGTCCTTGGATGACGCTACATTGTCTCTAGCTAGAGACATGAGCCAACCCCAGAAAAACTATTTCCCTCAGAATTAATCAGGAAGAACTCTGGAGATGCCACCAGGTACTGCTGTTGTACTCTCCATTCCTGTTCAAGCAAAGGAGTAAAGAAAACCTCACGCATCACGGATACAGCATGATGAGAGAGTGCAGAGAGGGCACAGAATAGGGAGGAGGAGGAATGTTCTGAAGGAAACCAAACTATCCTAGGGTTACCATAGTAATTTCTCATCCCTGCGGTGTGTGTTGTGGTGCTGAATGCCAGTAGCGTAACTCAGAATAGGCAGCAAGGTTTCAGTTGTCCTATAGACTAGAGAGGAGTTCCTCAAACCGTCTGTGTGTGTGCGTACAAGATTTGGGAGCGTTGTCCTGCACTCTCACTGGATGATACCTTAACTCCTTTCCTAAGCAAAACAAGGACATGACACCATCCCTTGGTTTCCAGTTTTTGGGATGGAGGTCCAAAACCTCCCTAGGAGTACTCCCGGGTTCCCCATGAAAGGGTCACTGGCTGCTGAGTTCTATGTTTTGCGGTTTGTCACTCAGTCACGGGTCACAGAACTAAATAAAAGCCCACGTATTTATTACACATCAAAAGAGCTCCCCAGGCCGACACCATCATCGCTGCTGCTCCCATACAAAGACCTAACTGGCTGGGCTCCCTAAAGCAGGTTCAGGGTGGCAGATACTTGACAAAGTGACTGTTTGCTCGCTACCAAGCAATTAAGGACAATGTTTCGTGTGCCCGGGCTTGACATCCCAGCCCCTCATTCCTGGTAGTACCTGTTGCTGCGGGAGTATGGGGATAGGATCTACATATCTCCTGGATATAGAAGAATGATCTTCTCCAGCTGCTCCACCCAGGTAGAATCCTTCCCGGCCCATACGTTCCAGGCTCCCACCACACCTCTCCTGATGGAAGAAGGATCATGAAAGTGAGGTCAGGTTTTGCTCCCACAATACCTTTGACTGAAGCTTAGCAATTGCTGAACATTGATCACCACCACTACTCTCTACCTTGGAGGCTTTTCCAAAGGAAAGATCCTGCCCCACCGAACAGAAGGGCAAATTAAGAATCCCATATTTTAGATCTTTGCCATAGCTATTCCCTATCTGAAAAGTCGTAAGGGGAGGTGAAAAGGTGACTGCTGATGTCAGGTCTGGCACAGAAGGCAAGCTCTTTTTGGAAATACTGCCCTTATATGTCATTTGTTTCTGCACTGAAGTCTGTATATTACTATCATTTTATCATATGGCTGTAGCATCTAGATATTTGAATTGTGAACAGAAACCCCACTGTGAGGAGTACTAAACACACCCTGCTGAGCCCATCACCATAACAAATGTACAGTGTTTGCCAAAGCAAACTTGACTCCTGTTCTTTCATTTGCCTGTCTGCATCTTGGAGCAAATGCTGTTCTCTTTGCCTTCCTGCTCACAGCCCAAACAGGTTGTTTTACTGATAAATGTGCATACGGTCTTTCTTTCTCCTTCCCCAGACCATTCTTTGCTGTGATCTCTCTCTCATTGGTCCCATAGCCTCTATTTTATACCTTACTAATGCATTTTTAAACCTCTGCATAAGTGGTCTAGAAGGAGATAACACAAGCCCCTTCTGCAGACTGAGAAATGGATCATCTCTCTTTTGGAGCTGGTAAGAACGCCCCACATGCAGCCTATAAAACTAAACTGCTGCAGAGAACGAGTCACGTACTTTCTGCCTTACCTCTATCTGCACATCCTGGTAATTTAATACCAAAATCCATTTCCCTGTAAAGCAGGACTTTGGTTAGCGCAGTGACCAGGCATGCTCGCTCCCAATACTGTGTGTGCGATCCATAGCAGTCTCTGCTATGCCATTTGCTTGTTCCCCTGGCACAAAACCCAGGCCTTCATTGGACTGGGATTTCCCTGCCTTCTCAAACATCTACTGCATCTTCCCTGAATGCACAGCTTGTTCCCATATCTGCCATGTTCTTCTCAGCAGTACTTTTCAGTTCCTACCAGCCACTGCTCCAGGTTCTGCCCTCGGTTCCTCCGCACTCCTCACTGTGTTCACTTGGTAACGGCAGATGGCTGATTCTTCTGAGCAGACAAACTTTCTGCTGTAATAACAGCTGCACTCTGGGTGCGTTCAAGGACACTAGGAAACCCGACTCAAGTTCTTCTCAGACACAACCTACCAGTCAGCTGTGCACCTGCCCTTATGAAAGCGAGGCATTTCAATAAGGTTAAGTCCTGCTTCTCTTGTGTAAAAGCATCTTAGATTTTCAGCTCTTGGGCCTTAGCAGAGCTGTAGCAAAGCTTGTCTGTGCAGATTTGCAGCGCTGCCTATTGCTATCCAAAACAGAATCAGAAAATTCTGCTCAATTATGTAACTGTACATACCACTGAATCCACCAAAAATCTATGTTGCAGGGCCCACCAGCATAGTGATGTGATTGGGTTCCCAAGGACAGACTCTTCCCCCAACCCCAAGACGTTCTCATCAGCTGAATTCCTTCCACAGAAAGCTTTCTCATGGAGAAACTCCTAAGGATAGGTTGTGTTTACCCTCTCTTCTCGGCTGTTTTCCCTCAGGAAGATCTGCTTCTGCCTGGAGATGGAAGTTGTCTTGTAGTAGTCCACCAGCTTGTTTAACGAGTGGAATTTCTCTGTCCACAAGTAATAGTTACCCTTTGAATCCCTCATCACTTTGAAGTGTTGCACATCATCTTCATGCCTGGATCCAATTGGAAAAACAAGACATCACCAACCAGCTTGCACTTGTGTCCTTTTTGAAAAAGTCATTTCCAGAAGGGTACCAAACTTCTTGCTTGGCCACACCTAGACTTCTGGAAAGTAAAGCAGTGGCAGTCCTTGGGCGTACTGGACCTAGATGTGGCTCCGTATTTCAAAACTCATCATTTACAGACATGGAGAGCTGCAGGGCTGCCCAGTCACAGAGCACTACCAGAACAAAGCATTGGGTTTTTAAGCCTCTCCTTTGAAATAAGAGGAGCTTTCAGGGCTGCAAAGAGCTAATAAATTTATTCCATACTTTGTATGGGAGGCAAAGGTGCAGTTGTATTCTACTCACTAGCCTCTGCAGGTTGCTGTCAACATCCAGTCTGCATTGAGTACCAGAGGTCTATTACACCTTTTCACACCATGGGCATCGGCACTACATGCAGACATAGTCACACGAAGCAATACATTAGATATTACACAATTGTAAAACTCAGCATAACGTCATTACTACTGGTCATTCTCCCTACCCAAAAAGGAAAAAAAAAAACCCAACCCAGGAATTATTAGTTGCTTCACAAGCCAAATTAATAGTCTCAACCTTCTGCCTCTGTTTCCCCCCCTGCAACTCCCCTCCTCCTACCCGACTGGGACAATTCCTCTTTGCACCAGATATGACCTGGTTTTGGTACCCACCTCCTTGCTCTGTGCAACTCCAGGAACTCAAAACACTCATCTCAGAAGCTACATCTGCCCAAAACACTAACCAGGGACCAAGGAGGGTCTGAGTGCTGTGCTGGAGTGCTACAGACGCACAGGCTGTTAAAGTGTTAGCATGGCTGGGGTCCAAACCAAAAAGCCCTCCCCTAGATAATGCCGGGCCATGGTTAGGGGGACAGAGTGGACCAAGAACTCTTTGCAGCAAGCTGCCTGAAAACAGCAGTCCTGTTCTGTGGGGTGAAGAGGGTTTAGCCATATGGATATGAGCTCTGCCACGTTGCTTGACCTCAGGGCCAGAGAAAGAGTCATAGAATCATGGAATGGTTTGGGTTGGAAGGGACCTTAAAGACCACCCAGTTCCAACCCCCCTGCCATGGGCAGGGACACCTTCCACCAGACCAGGTTGCTTAAAGCCACATCCAGCCTGGCCTTGGACACTTCCAGGGATGGGGCATCCACAGGTTCTCTGGGCAACCTGTTCCAGTGCCTCCCCACCCTCTCCGGGAAGAACTTCTCCCTGATATCCAATCTAAATCTCCCCACTTCCAATTTAAACCCGTTACCCCTTGTCCTGTCACTACAGGCCCTTGTAAGAAGTCCCCCCTCAGCTTCCTTGTAGCCCCTTCAGGTACTGGAAGGCTGCAGACTACTCAGTGTGTCAGTGTTTACTGGTGTAGATGCAGCCAGGATGTTTTACTGAATTCCTCCCAGGTATTTTTTAACTCCCTGAATCAGAAAGTGCACATGGCTTGGAAAATACATTGCTAACCACTACTCTAATTTAAAACTGGTTATCAATTGACTGAAAATTGGGAAGCCAACAATCATTTAAGAGCTCTGCTTTAAAGCAAATGCCTTGAGAAGGGCTGGGCCACAGTAAGTTGCCCAATAAGAAACTGAAAGCCATTTCTGTCCAATGGCTGTTTAGTGACCTGTGGGAAATAAGTTAACAATGTAATAGTTATCTCTTAGTAGCTAATAGTAGAATTCTTGGATTCAGTAACCAGAGCTGTCAGGGAAATAAAACAAACAGAAGACACATGTCTTTCACTGTGGGAGATGTCTTATGTTCCACTCTGCTTTGCTGCAGCTCTTTCAGAGAAGCAGGTCACCAAGGGATGCAGCTTTGGAATAGGGAATTCACTGTGTCACTTGAAAAGAGGCAGAAACATTTGGGAATCAGATGCCTAATTTGTTCTCATTCACAACACAGAAGCACTGCCAGCGACTGGCAGCCCACAAACTTCCCAAGAGCCTAGGTCACATTCGGAATCCTGTCAAGAGGAGGCTAGGGACACCATTAAACGGGAAAAGAAGCAGGAAAATGCTGTGAGAGCAGATACCTGACAGAGATGGAGAAGTCACCATGAGAGTTCTGACTGGCTCGGACGATGAAGGAGCCAACTCCTTTGCTCATGAGGATGTTCTCTGCTTCATGGCGGGATATCCTTTCATCAAACCAGCTGTCAAGTGGGACAAAATCATGGAAACATGAATAAGGAAGGTGAATTAAGGTAAAGAACAAAAAAATGAGGGTAGGGAGAAGGTGAATAAGCAGGGTGGAGGAAAGACAACACAAAAGGATCAGAGGAGCCCACATGACTACTCCCAGTGGCCATATACATGCCAAGGTACAGGGTTTGGATGGGTGCAGACCATTTTCTTTGAGCAGTAAAAGCACGTAGATGCAAAGAGAACAATGTAAACTTTGGCCTGCTAAGAAGCAACACTGCTGAAACTGTAATTACAGGCACAGTACAGTAAGGTGTTAGTCAAAGAAATTTTAAATTACAAATGCGCATGTATATATACATACACGTGTTATTCTCTGACATATACATCAAATTGCTTTTGGTAAACTGATGGAAAATTACTGGACTGTGATGGATATATTGCAAGGGACACACATAAATTTTTAGCAGAAGCAAGCCATGAAAGTTTTAGTACTAATAAATTGGCTCCTGCAAGAGTTATAATACCACGAAATCACAGAAACACAGAATTCATAAGCATACTTCTGCATATTTAGCCAGGCATAACAAACGATAGTATATGGCACTGGACAAATAATGAGAAAGTCACCATAAATAGTAAAATAATACAGTCTCAATAGGAATTTTTCAGTGGAGAAAAAAATTCATCCTGTACACTCATGTATGTCCACTCACAGCTAATAAGATCTACGGTCTGCAGTCTTCTGCCTTTACGTAATGCGTAATTGCCTGTATTGCATTAAAATTAAGGTCTGGTGGTTTCATATGCTCATTTCCACGTTTGAGTTTCGTTATACTTCTCCTTACTATCATCACAGTTTGCCTATGTGTCATTAGCAAAGGCAAATCAGACTTGAATCAGCACTGATAACCGCTCTCGATGATTACTGCACAAGACAAAGTTGGGGAAAACGGCCCATCAGAAATAGGAGACAGCTCTTATCCCTGCAGCTGGCCTGAACTGCTTCAGCCTGCCAACCTGCTACTCTTAGGGAAGCGTCAAAGTGGCAATATTTCCTCACAGCTCCTGCACAGTGAAAGCACCGTGAGAAAAATATGTGTGAAAAAAAGAAGCCGCTAGTGTCCCCGCATAGTGCCACAGCCCCCTGAAAGAGCAAATGAGAACAACTGACTGGGAGTTCTCGTCCCCCTGAGGCCCGTAAGTACCAGCCCATGTTTGCAGAGCAAACTATGTCCTTCAGCTCAGCCAAGCAGGTTGGCTTATGGCCAGTAAGTGCCACTTCCACAGGGGACAGTGGCGCTTACTTGTGCCCTCAAAATCCCTGTACACCCCCGTTTTGCGTGCTCGGGGCATCGGTGTGCTCCCGCTAGCAGCACCAGGCTTGCTGCGTGCTCTGAAATGCTGCAGCACTTACCAAAAGAGAACAATTGGAGGGGCTTCAGGGAGCGTTTCTGCCAACGGGAAGGGTGTAAAAATGCCACCCGTTGTCATATTTATGGCACAGGGCAGGACAGCACATTTAACATGGCTTAAACACCGACCAGTCCTTTCTGGAAACGCAGTGACACCCGCTCGGTGGGAAGAGAGAAATGGGGGTATGCCCGTCCCCTGGCAGAGCTGTCTTTGGGAAGGGGTGGGGGGAGCAGGGCAGCATGTGTGGTCTGTCATCTCCGTCAATCCACGCGTGACACCAGCTGTCACATTTCGCGTAGCATCGCACTGACCTCTAGTGTTACCGAGAGAGACTCGCACACCCTTTGCCGGGGGAGGGAATGCGGGTGGCAGGGTGGGCAAAAGGGAGTTAATGTCGTTAAGAGTCGGGGGGGGAGGATTTACATTTTTATAATTCATTTTTCAGAGAGATTTCTTGCTCTTCCTTTTGTGCTCAGCCTCTGTCTCCGTTGCCAAGACTTCACCTCATGACTATTCTCCTTCTTTCCGAGGAGATCTGAATGCAGTTCCTGCCACATCCCAGCGACATCCCTCTGAGCGACAGTAACAACGGAGTCACTTGGGAGTGACAGAGCATCGAGAACCGTTCAGCGCTGAAAGAACAGAGGATGCTCGAGGGCAGAAACGAGATGCGCTGGCAGAACTGCGTACAGCGCGATGGCAATCCCTGCCAGCCTGGAAGCGTGGTACGCTACAACCGCCGCCTCCTCCGTGCCGCCTTCCTTTGCGCGTGCTCTCGGCAGCGCTCCGTGGAAGCGTGCGGTGGTGGTGCACACAGTGTCCATGACACTTACGGGGGAACATGGAACTCAATGAAGTTCTTGGGGACATAGCCCTCTTGACTTCGGAGCTCAGCCTTGTACCACTCTTCCTGGGAGCTCAAAACCTGCAATGGGAAGACAGGTGGAATAAATGTGTCTCCTGAGAAAGGCAAAAGTAACAAAGATTCTGGCAGAAACCTGGAATTTCTTGTAATAATAGAACTCCACATATGCTCTACTTCCCACCCACCATGCAGCAAGGTTAGTGGCCAGTGGCCACTTCAGAGCAAAAGAAGCAATAAAGGAGGCTGAGTAGAATTGGAGGGATTGCTTGTTAACTTCATCCCTTCGTCTGAATGCCTGGCTGGCTGGGGACACCATCTGCATGTCTCTGATGTCTGTGAAATGAAAAAACTCATCTCCAAAGGACTTGACAGGGGTTTAGGGAGTTCTCTGTGCTGCTTTTAGTAGTTGGTACTGGAGCATCTCGGTTTCACAACGGAGGAAAAAAACCCCCTGTGAAAACTCCTGATGTGTGGGTACGGAGGGACGCACAGCCCTACCTCTGCGTGTGTGCGTTATGACTGCACAGATGTCACCGTGCGCTCCCACGCGTCATTTCACCAGAGGTGATTTAGTGGGTTGTCTTCAACTGCCCTGAGCTTTGCCAAGGTAGAGAAAAGAAGGAGGCAAAAAGTATTTTAAAGCTACTGTTACACTGAAGAGATGGTAGGACGGCAGGAAGCCAGTCCACAGTGCACGCTGGGGTGGCTTCAAGTGTGCTGACATCAGTGTTGACTGTCACGGTCCCTAGGGACTGCCCAAACTCACTGCTCCCTGGCTGATGGCTCACGATATAGCCCTAAGCTAGAGGAGAGAGGACAGGGATACGACCACGTTGTGATTTTACTGCAAGTGTTGTGGTCTTGGGCGTTTTGTTTGACATTCCAACTCCTGGGACAGGATTCCGCTTTATGAAATAAAACATGTTTCTGTTTTCTCTGGTTTTGGAGAGGAGCCTGGAAGCATGAGCCATGACAGTCTTAAAAGGAGAAAGCAAGCGGAAAAGACTTAATTTAAAAATCTATTGTTAACAATAACAATACTTGTTTTGCAAGCCAATCCCATGTTTTTGGGAGCCTAATGCACGTCCTAACTTCTTGGTGTTGGCAACAAGATGTTACTGTCCCCAGGGCTGATGTTCCATTGTCTTGCCTGCCACGTAGGCCTTTTTAATGCATTTGGGTACAGAAAGGTTGGGGAACAGAAAGCTGTGGCGTTCCCTGCTTGTACAGTCACGGCTTCCCCCATCCCCGGGTGATGGATTAAGGATCATTTTTGCTGCTGTGGCCAATTAAAGAGGATGATAGCTACTCCCTGCTTACACTCAGGCCCCACTTTGTTGGCAGCAAGGTTTCCAGAAAGACCCACCTGCTGGTTCTCGGTACAGGGCTGGGAGGTTTCTCTCAGCGTGTCATCCTCTCAGAGAAGGATGTGGGGGGGGGTGAGAGGGTGGATTTCCTCCTGTCACTGCTGGTTGAGGGCCTCATGTTTCCTGTTTTCTAATCTCTACATCAACAGTGCTCATCTTATCTCCCTTATAAATCAGAAAAGACTGCCAGCAGGTTATGCAGGCGGCAGGAGGGGGCTCATGGTGGGGTATGAATGTACGTGTGTGTGTGCCAGAAGAGAGATGTTACTCAGGCTAATTTACTGTTACTATGGCTTGGGCAGCTAAGGTGTTATTTTGTTTACCTCAAGAATGTTAATGCAAGAGGCAGTCTGACTTTGCTGGTGGTGAATCGTCCGTGACGGTTACTAATAATGCCAATGCATAGTGCTATTTGACACTTTTCATCGGTAGCTTCCAACGTACTTTGAAAGGAAGTTCTGGCTTATAACGATTTTACAGGAAGGAAAATTGAGGAACAGAAGGAGAAGAGATCTGGCCAACACCACCACCCCTGCCAGGGACTTGATGAAACCACAGTCTCCTGAGGAAGAAGATATCAAGTAAAGATCATGGGACCATAGGGACATGGGGACTATTTTTGAGCTAAGGGAGGATTAGGGATGAGAGTGTTCATCTGCGCTGAAGAGACAGTGATTTCTCCAGAACTTTCTCATAGCTCTCTGGAAAAACCTGGTATTTGATCTTAATGAGTTCTGGATGCCATCAGCTTTGTCTAAGCTTCAAGAATTAAAAGGAAAATAAAACAAAAAATGATGATGATAGAAGAGGCAAGGCTGAGGCCCACTATCTGGTTATTAACTGGAACTGCTGGGACCGTACAGGGAGATAGTGAAGGCTCCAGGGCCAAACAAGGGTTTAGGTCCTATTGTTGTACAACATCCCCCTGGACAGTGGAGGGGTTATAAGGCCTTAGAGAGGCATTATACTCAAGCATTTTCAACTGAAACAGAACAGCTACGCTGGGGGCTGAGAGGTGGATAAATAATTAGGGTGGAGCAGTGTGTGACTTCTTCTGTGGGGTTTTGGCAGGGTTAGCAAGAACTGTTTTACCATAACAAATGCAAATCAACTTTAGAGACTCTCACATGCTCTGTATTCTGTACAATCAACTCTACTGCCATTCCTCCACTGCTAAATTCCTGTGAGAGTATGTATAATATTATTACTCCAGGACCTCTTAAACTCTTCCATTATTTGTGTGACAGACTCTTATGGACTTTTCCTCTTCTATTTGTAATCACCCCAAACCCCTGCAGCAACTAACAGTAATTACTTACAGTGAAAGGTTAGATATAAGTCCTATAACGCATGATAACTATTTTTTAAACAGTTTATAAGCTGGAACTAAGGAAGACAGCAATCTCTCTGGACCACACTCATCCTGCCTGCCTCCAGACATAGTCATCCTAAACGCAGTCACTTTAGACTACATATATAGTCAATGAAAACAGACAGGCCCATCAAAATTTGTCTACCAAAAAACTGAACCTGTGCCCCAGAAAAGGTACTTACAACCCTGCTGGTTGCTGGAGGACTGTACAGCAACTAAATCCATAGCTGATGAACCTAAAATCATGTGAAGTGGACACAGACTCAAGCGACCTGAGAACTGGTGGCTGACCTACAGCGAACCCTATGGGAGACGAGTGTCCTGCATTTATATCCCAGCTTCTAGACATCTGTCTTCACCTGTTTTGTTAAGGCAGATGGGAGCAGAGACAGATCTGGCAGCACTGTCAGAAATGCTGTTTAGTCAAGCCTGGGGCTGCACTTACCTTCAGCATATCCCCCGCCTGGAAGCTCAACTCATCCTCTCCAGAAGCACTGAAATCAAACTTGGCGATGGCTTCCATACTGTGTCTTGGTGGCAGAGCAAAGCTGGAAGAAGTATATGCTTGTCAACATCTGTGAGCTGCTGGGACTGCTGAGTCTAGCCCCTAGAAAGCTTATAGGCAATGCTGTGATTTGTACATGGATGAGCACGCGCCAACCATTGGTAGGCATTAGTTACTAGGCATGGAAGGACGTTAGCAGGTAGAAGAGATGGCATGGCTAAGAGGCTATAATTATCTCAGGTCAGTAGTTCAGACAACCCATTGTGTATGCTTATTGCAACAGATTGCATTTTCTGCAGCAATCTCATGGAGAAGTTTGCACACGCCACCCAAATAAGCTGGTAGCAGGTAAAACCCACCTCCTCTGACCAAGTACTCTGTCACAGTTCCCAATAAAGCAAGCGACTCTGTCATGCAATAGAAGAATGCATTTGCCCTCTGCAGTGACTTACTTTTTATCTCAAGAGTGAGACAAATTGCAGACAAAATGAACAGTCTGCAATAAGTATAAAACTTTTTCTTGGACAGAGGCCACAATACTGAAGGTTGAAAGAGACTTTTCTCTATGATGGCTTAGCACGGGTGACCACAATTTACAGCTAGGAAAAACTGCTCGCAGAAAGGCTGTGGTCCCTCTTTTGGAGCAGGCAGAGAGTGAAACTGTAGCACTGACAAATTTAAGGCATGCACTTACACTACCTCACTGCTGATAACCCAGGAGCCTGAAAACGTACCAGGCAGCCTGCAAACCCAAGTCTGCTTTTCATCGGCAGAGCAGATGTGGCAGGGGAAGTAGCAACATGAGCTTCGCTTCTTCACCACTTCCTGCTCATGTAACTCAGATGTACCCCAGCGGGACCACTTCTATAATCAAGAGTTACTCATTTCCCATGGCTGGCTCATGGACCCTGCAGCCCAGCACTGAGGCTGCCAGTGACAAGTAATCACCAGGCAGTGCCACATTAAACAAGTGCCCTGGTGGTAGATGCTCTTGCAGTCCAGCTTGTGAAGACCATCAGACAGCTCCAATATAGAAGTAACTTTTATGGTTGCTAATCTAGGTTCATCCAGGAACAATGGTCCCGAAGCCAAAGGTTCCATTATCTAACTTCATCTCTCATAAAAACAGCCAGACTTTACAGCTTGAGAAGTGCCAACTTGCCTGATCCAAGCATTCCTAACCAGAAACCGCTAGAAAGAAACCGTATGAACAGCCCTAGGTAGGGGGCTTTTTCTTGTTTCCTCTTAGAACCAAGAAAAGATCCCCAAAATATAAAGTGCTGATAATGAACACACTCCAAAATTATGCCACTTTAAAATCAACAGGGTACTGTAACCGTCCTTCTCTGCAACACCTGCTGTAAGTTTCCTCCTCTGGCACACAACCCAGGGATTTAACTACCAGTGTACCAAGGATCCAGGGCCCAGCTCTCCTACTGTACTTGACTCAAACTGCTGAGAATGGGCTGGAAGAAAATCTGCACGGAAAAAATTATAGACAGGGGTAAGGCTGTTGAGAAGGCACCAAGAGTAGCTCAGGGATTCAAGAGGAAAACCACCAAAGATACAAAATCTCAGAGGAAATAACCCCAAACACACACGACCCAAGAGGTTGTCAGGATAGTCGGTCTAGCCGAGGACCACTCATGAATCACTGCGGTCACTCAGCTATCAGCGCCATCAGTGCTGACCCAGCTGGTGGCAGAGGGAACCATGGAGGCCAGCTCTTCCCTCGCGACTGATGCCTGCCTAGCCAGCAAAATTCTTCAGGTGCCTTTACACAGGTGAGAAGAATGCTAATGCTGAGCCTAATATTTCATTAAATCCTAGCTAGCTTCTGTGTGTGTGTTAACTGCCTACAGTGGTTATTTATTGGCTAAGCTGTGTATTTCCCACGTGCGGAGTTCCTTCGCACTTGACTAAAGTTGCCCCCGGTAAAGTGACCCCCAGGGGAGGCGGTAATATCACTGGAGATTACTTCTGAGATTTGTACATCGCATTTCAAACTGTAAAAAGATCCTCACATGCCTCCTCTTGGATTCTGTTAGCACTCTTTTTTGCTGCTTTTAGGTGAATTTGTATTCACGTGACCGCTGTGAGCTATGTGGCACCAAGGCAAATTCTGTATCAGTCCACAGGCACCCCTGCCCGTCCTACAGCAACTGGGGTTGTTTGAGTGCTGGGGCCTCCCATGGAGCTTGGAGCACAGAGCTCAGTTGTGGTCTGCTATACACCTGCTATTCCAGCCCACTGCCTTACTCTTTGGTCAATACACGTCAATTCTGAACTGTAACACCTTATTTTTTATCAATGAGATTTGTACTCAGTCTTCAGCTTTCCAGCTATTCCAAACCTTTTCGCCCCCTTTTCTCTCCATCCGCTTACTGATGTTCTTTAGTTCTTACTCTGGATACCCTTTGCACATGTGCAAATATAGATTAAGTTTGCCGTCTGATCGCTCCACTCTTATTCCAGGCATTCGTGTGACTCTAGATGCAACTTAGGCATGATCCAAGAAACGTGCTCTGTCCTTGCACTGACCTTCTTGGAGCTTCAGCCTGTAACGTCCCACAGCCCGTGCGAGACCCTTGCGTGCTAACAGAGCGTAAGGGTATTAAATAGGAGGGATATAAACCATTATGTGAACTAGTTACGCAGTGATACTCTTCCATGGAAAAGAACTGAAGGAAAAGACAGAAGGAGAATTACCTTAATAACGGAAGTTTTTCAGTATTTTGTCTTGCAGCAGTGTGCTGCTGCAGAGAGATCAGGGCCAACAGTGCAGATAAATCCTGGAACTCCTAAATGCAGAGCATTAATCCCAGCCTGAGTGAAAAACCCACACTTAAAAAAAAAGATAAGCTATTTAAGTACAAATCCTGTCTTTGATTTTTGCCCCTTAGTCACAGAAGCGACATTGGGGGTTCTCTCTGCAGGGGGCAGGAGGGGAGAGCACCTTTCGTTTTTCAATATCCCAAATGTTAAAGATGCGATTGAAGATGTGACCTTCTCAAAAGGAGAAGGGTTTGTGAAACAGTTAAAATCTCCTCTCTCACCTCCTTTTCAATTTCAGCAATCCCAACCTTGGGGAGAGACTGGGAGACAGATACCTCTTCAAACAATCTAACACATGGATTAAATGTGCTTTTCATTGCCAGCGGCTGGATTTAGGAGTGACTGAAATACCATACACAGAGTTGGCTGTGTTGATAAATCAGCAATGCAGTAATGCTGTGGCCTTAAGCTCTTTCCCCACCAGCTACTAAAGCAACACTAGCCAATAATCCTGCCTTTGAACTCCAGCCTACCACTTTACATCACCTGAACTTCAAACCAGTTCTGTTTTTCTGGTCCCGTTCTTCCCTCCATCTGTAACTCCCAAATCACTCACTCCGCCGCATGGGTCAGTGCTGGGACCTCTTGAAAATTCCCCTGCTAGGGGCCTCCAGCCTACCACTTTACATCACCTGAACTTCAAACCAGTTCTGTTTTTCTGGTCCCGTTCTTCCCTCCATCTGTAACTCCCAAATCACTCACTCCGCATGGGTCAGAGCTGGGACCTCTTGAAAATTCCCCTGCCAGGGGCCCTTTCTTTCCCTCTCCGCATGTGTGTGACTTCCAGCATCCCCCACAGCACAGAGACAGGAATTTTTTCATTATTTTCATCACTTACATTTCTCAAGCCCCTTTTATCCCAAAGGACAGCACCACAGTTTGCAGATCGAGAGCCACATTCCGCCTTTTAACTGCCTCGTGCAAGTCCTTTAAGCTTTCGAGCAACCAAGGACAGTTTGAGACTGTGCATAATGTTCAGTGTGAAAATCACCTTTGTATAGAGTTTAGCGTGAAGTCTACGTGATGTTTGAAGGAGGATTTTTCAATACTGTGCATGAGTTGGCCAATATCCTCCATTTTGTGCTAGCTCTCTGCATGGAGGTGAACTTTCTCTGCGGGTCCCCATTGTAACGAGGCAGATCCAAGGGGCATAAGGCTACTGCCATTCTGTGGGACCAGCTCAGCAGAAGAGTCAGGAAAGGAGAAGTGAAAAGCAGCGTGGCTTTGAGAGCACTAGGAAGATATTTTAGTTTGGCAGAATGCCATTCCCTGAGCAAGAACATCAGCAGCTCTCCGTTGATGAAAAGAGCCAAGGCCTAAATCATGTCAGCAAGCAACGTTGTCTGACAGCAGCATCCCAAAGAGTTTAACACTGTTCCCCTACACCAAGCTGGGTCAAAATTCAGTAGTAACAATGCCAGGGAAGGTCACCACCTACAAAGCGTTTACCACTCAGGGACTGCCCAGGCTCAGCCCTGCTCAATCTCACATATTAGCATCACAGAAGGAGGGCATAGTTGCAACAACGTGCCTGCTTAAAGGAGCCATAGGAACAAAAGTTTTTCTTTTTACACCTGCAGCACACGCGTCTCCAGCCTGCAGCTCCATCCAGTGAAGTTTTACACAGATATATGCAGCCTGAGCTACTGTGTCTTTGTTCGGCTCTGCAAGAACAACCTATTGGACTGATGAGCAACCAGGGACAGAATTCAACCCTGAACATCTGTTTTTTGAGCAATGGAGAAAGGGACCCACTATCTAGAAGAGCTGTGGTAGATAAAAGCTTTGTTTTCACCAGCTAAGCCACATACAAGTGGCAAGGGAATATTTTGTTCCAAAAACACAAACCTCTTGCTACGGAGTTAACGGTGCAGCTCCACTGACTGTCAGTGATAAGAGGGTAAAATATTTAAGGGAGAACAAGTCACTAAAACACTCAGCACAGTTGCATTTAAGTCTTGGCTATCCTGCCATCCAGAGCGTAGCGGTCGGGGCAAGATTCTATGCACAGACAAATTAAGCCTCCTAGGAGCACGATTTGCAGAACAAACAAACTTTCGGGGCCCTATAACCAAAGCAGTTGGTAAGAAAGACCCCAGACTGGGATGGTGCTTAATCTCCCTGGGGAACCTGGGCCTTCTGTGCTGCTTCCAGTCATGACGAAGCAGAGCTGGGCAGCACCA